ATTGAACTTATGAGTGAAGGAAAAGTAGTCCTAAGATTCGAGATATTCGTTGATGGGTGTAAACTGGTGTTTTTAGGGTAAATAGATAGATTCTTACCAATTTGATATAGGGTTTCATACCTTAAATCTAAGATTGAGCCAATTAGAGGGCTATTAGGAGAAGGAGACTTTAGGGTGGCAAGCTAGAAGTTTTGTCATGACAATCTAGTATTTTAAGGAATCGACCCTAGTTTAATTAAGTTACTTTATACACTCAGAAGAGGGTACCTTAGATTTTTGATCCTATCATCACTGTCCATATTAGATTCTAAGCATCATATTCCTAAACATTATCTATATCACCACAAAATAAAGGTAGTTTTTACACCTCAAAAATTTGCCAAACCAATTTATATAGTTATGTTTAAATTTAGATTTAGGTTTGTATTTAGGAGTAGTTGATATAAAAATACCCTTAATCGACATTCCAATCCAAGACCTGATAGTATTAGACTAGAATTAAGCCTAAGGGATTTCTTACCATACTTCTCTATGGGATCGAAACTCTGTGTTTTAAAAGAAAACCTTATATTACTTGAACGATACATATACTTGTGTAAAACCTCAAATGTGTAAGATTTAAATTAAATTCTAAACTCTATAACATATTCATTTTTGCACACTAGCCGATTAAGGAAATTGGGTCAAGTTTTTTGCCAGGAAACTAAATAACTGCATAATTGATGGTCGAGTCACCCACCCACCTTTAATATCATCTTATGATACTAATGTTTGTCAATTAAACATCCCACCATTCCTTTTTGTGGAAAAAATGGGGATTTGCATCATACCATACAATTCTTACATATATACATTCTGCAACATGTACCTTTAAATAGTATCTTATATAACACCTAAATCTATAGAATCACATTAAAATTATCACTATTATTAATTGGCATGTAGGAATATTAACTTATATAACACCTACACTTTTAGCATCCCTTGAAAATCACTAACATTAATTTTATTGAACTAAAACAAATCTTTTCATGCTTAAATTTTGATATAATAATAACACAAAAATGTTATATACAAAAATATAAAAAATTTGATGAAAGATTTCTAAATAAATAAGAACTACAATTTTTTTTTTTTGTAAATTTCTAGCACTTAAAAGTGATGATTGGATTTTGCATAATGTTATTGTTAAAGCATGATAATTAATAAAATGCATTTATGGTTAAGAAAATGAAACATATTTCTTATAGATTTGTTTTTTTTATATTAAGATTAACATTTAGTGTAATGCTTTACATCTCTATCCCATATTTACATACAAATCCTCTTTTGAAAAAAGTCTAGCGTATTTTATAGAAATTGAACGAGTAAGTTTTCGATTTCTATTATCCTAATCTCTTTCTAAAAAACAAAAACAATGTAATCAACGATCATAATTAAGAAAATAAAAATTGAACCAAAATCACCTATATTCATTCAAGCGATTTCGATGGCCACGACATTGCATAAATCTCTCTTGTTACCAATGAGATGCTTCTTAGCTAACTCGAAGGTGTTTTCCTAACAGAAAATTGTCTATGTATATGTTTCACATATATCTAACCACCTTCTACCGTTTTTACTTATAAGTGACCAAAAAAATCAATTCAAAGAGTGATTGAGAGAGACTTGAGCAATTAAAAATGAGTTGCGGATGTTTTCTATCTCTCTCTCTCCCAACCAACTAATTCTCTTCTACTACTAAGGTTTGCCAATTATCATCTATCTCTTTCACCCAAAAAATACTTTGCACATAATTCTTATGTATTTGCATAGTTAATAGCTAAAATTCATCATTAACTTATATAAAACCATAATGTTTAATATCATATTTAAAATACTCAATAATAGTATTTTCTTAGTTAAACACACATTCTCATGTTTATATTTCCATATAATCATACATTAAAAAGTTATAGAAGTAAATGTTAGAATTTAGGTAAAAAAGGATAACAAAAAAATGCAAAATTTAAACCTATGCAACATAAGTTAAATTACTCTTGATTGATGAAACTTACCTCCGAGGTTGAATGCTAATAGGGTATTTATCAATTAAGGGTGTGTTTGGGGCAGCGGGGGGACTTGCGGCGCGGCATCGTGCCGCTACTTTTGCCCGTTTGGGGCTGCGGTGCCGCCGCTGCATCCTGCTGTTTGGTGCGAACGCTGAAAACTTCCTCTTACTTGCGGCCCAGTTTCATCGATCAGCCTTTTTCCCCGTGCCCCCTTCCGCCACAGTAGATCCCGCGAAAGAAGAGGAAGCCACGATCTTCTCCCCTCTCCTCCCCTCTCCTCCGCGACAGAAAATCAGTGTCTCATTTTTCTTCGATATCTTTGGTTTTCAAAGCAAGAGGAAGCAAGCACAACAGTAGCAGAGAAGCGAAGAAGAAGAAAGCTTGGAGAAGAGAGGGGCGATGGCTGTGGGGGAGAAGAGGATTCCTGGGAGGAGGATGAGGACATCAGAACCTAACAACATCCATGGCTGTGCGCAGTTTGGTGATCTCTTCGGCCTCCAGAAATAGTTAGAGGAAATTCCTACTCTTCTCAATGCCAAGAAGGACATTGTAAGCCCTCTTATCACTCTTCATGCTGCTCTCCTTTAGCTCATTTTCCCTCAAGCTCCTTTTTCTTCTCTTCACCCATTTTCTATCATTTAAATATTACTTTCTTGGTGCAGCTTGCGTATTTTTTTTCATTTAGAACTTAATAAAGCTCCTTTATGAACAGTAATTTATATTTTACATTCTTTGAGGCAGCTTTTTAAAGAACAAAGGTGAAAAACAGGAGAAACTATTTACTTTTTATCCAAACAGTCCCTGCTTTTTGTTGTTTATTATTTATATCTTATATTGCATAGAAAGTAGGAACAAAATGAAGCTTTTTATCCTTCGACTATTCTCATTTTCATGTTTACTTCCCATTAATTAAAAAAGAGATCTGAATTATGTCCTGCCTGCTCCAAATTATTTTCAGCACTAAATGTAGAAAAAATGGTTGGAATTTAAGCTCAAGAAACTGACAAGGTTTTGTAAAGATTGAGATGGAATCTAAGAACATGGTAACAAAAATTATTCAACTCCAAGTTCTTTTTTTCTTTTTGGTTATGAATTTGATTTCATTTCAAGGTTGCTGAGAACACAAATCCGCATGTTAAGATCAAAATCCACTTTCAGATTTTCGGACATGTTGTAAGATAGTTGTTTCCCTATATCATCATGACACTATATATAAAAGAGAAATTTTGTTATGTGAAGTAGTTCGACAATAGTTTGATGACTTCATAGACTTGCAATTTGATATAAAATGTATCTTCCTAGATTTGCAATTTGATATATAATGTGTTTGTCACTCTGAAAGACAAGAGGACCTGGTTTCAAAACGTGGCCAGTTTCCCATTAAATGAAAAAAAAATGGCTTTCAATATGTTGATTTAATGGCAATTTGCTTTTTTATTTTTTTTTTTTGTTGGGCCTAGATTCTCTGAAGCCTTGTGATGTGGTGTTATTTGTGGTCCTAGTTTTATTAGGTTTGTAATTTTATTGATTTCTCTTCTTTTTCTTAGCACTTTTTATACTCATTGTTTAGTGAGTAGTGTATCTGAATTTTTATTGTGTTTTAAATTGTGAAACAAAATATGTATCAAATTCTCTCCTCTCAACTACTTGTTAACAAAAGGGAAATTTATATAATAAAAAATATTGGAGCATTTACATACATACTTATAATTTTTTATATTAATATATCTAACATCTAAACTTTAGTTATCCACCACTAAATTCTTCCAAATCACATAAAAAAATATTACTAATTAGATCTTTAAAAGGTGAAATAAATTTTTTTTATACATACATACATATTAAAGTTTAAGTGTAATATTAAAATATATAAACATCGACAAATTTCCGCCATCAGGCAATTGGCTTCCATATTAATAAAAAGTATATAAAAACGAAAGAATATAGTCATGTAGTAGAATGACTAGCCTAAACTACATGCATATTTTAATAATATTTATATTTAAAAATAACAAGTAACAGCATAAGAAGAAGACAAAAATCGTCGACAGCAGGGTTCGAACCTGCGCGGGCGAAGCCCAACAGATTTCAAGTCTGTCTCCTTAACCACTCGGACATATCGACTAATTGTTCTCTGCGATAGCATTTGTACAATAATAATGCATTAACGTCTACCAACCGTCCCACCATCCTGCTAAAACGTTTTATACAAACGGCCTAAAAGAAGCAATGAAATAAATAAATTAATAAATAAAATTTGAATCAAAATATTCAGAGATTCTAAAAAGTTTAAAAAATAAATAAAATAATAAAAAAAAAACAAGGAAGATTTGCATGCATACCACTCAATTCTTATGTATTTGCATATCGAATTTTTAAACTTCAATTTTTGCACTTATAACACCTCACCAATGCATGAAAAGATGTATTTCATTTTTACAAATTAACAGTCATATTTTTTTTTATGTCATAATAAGGATTTGGGTGGTATGAAGGTGAAAAAACAAATTTTTGGGTGTTAGATATGTAAATAAATAGGAATTGGGTGGTATGTATGTAAATGACCCAAAAAACAAGCCAGTTCAATCAATCCAGTCTTACAGAAACTAAAATTATTGTTACCAAACTTAAATTCAGAATCCAAACTTATTATGAAAAGGTCTTACTTAAGTTTAAAGGACAACTAACACTAATCTCATACGAAGTTCCATAAAGATATAACAATACTGCTGCTGAGGTTTATTATGAAGATAAACTACTCCTAGACTTTGTTATAAACTATCATAACGTAGCATCAAATCCTGATGCTGCTTTCTGTCAGCTTTTTTCGGGTATTGTAATTTTTTTTTAAAAAATATGGTATCGTTTTAGTGTAAAAAATAAAACTAGTGCCCTGCAGTTGCATCAAGGATTGATTGAACTGGCTTGTTTTTAGATGCATATTGCTCCTCAAGGAATTGGGTGTACTTAGATGCATATTGTTCCTCACAAAACGTCCAAACTAGTGGAATTTTATACAAATATCCCACAATAAAAGTTCTAGTGTAAAAAATAATAACTGAATACGCTGAAAAAGCTCTAGAAAATTACAAAACTAGTGCCCTGCAGTTGCCTCTGATTCTTCCTGCTCTTGTTTTGATTAGCTAAAATAAGCGAGAGGCACATGAACCCAAACTTTCTCTTCTTTAAAGTAAATTTTGTGCAAGCATTGTTCACATTATTCCTTGAGGGAGACATTAGCTGGTTCCTCTGAGTTAAGAGCTGGCCTAGAGATATCCTATGCCTTCCAATTGTTCTCTCACTGTTCTCTTTTTCATTTTCCTCACTGTCCATCAGCTTGATACTAAGAATTTCACCAATAGACAATCTTCTCGACCTTCCAGTATTGATCAAACTCATACCATTCACATCAAGCATCCTAGTTTCCATTCTACGGCGCACCAAAGTGGAGTTTTTGAATTTGGTGAAGTTTTGGACGGAAGAAATCTTATGTTTCTGCTTAAAAATCCACAAGGGAAAATCTTCGTTAACTGCAAGCTTTCCTCTGCTTGCTACTAACTCTTCTCTCTTCAGTGCTTCTTTCAGCATCACCCTGTTGGATTCAACTTCTGTTGTTGCCTTAGCACAAATACTGTTCTTCGGTTTTAAAATCCATCTGTGTAGAGCTTCTTCAGCTGCTAGCTTTTCACTGTTTGCAGCTTCTTCTCTCTTCTGTGCTTCTTTAAGTGCTTTTCTGCTGGCCCCAACATCAGCTATTGCTTCCTCAACAGTCATATAAAGCTTATGATTTGACTGGCTTGCCTTTCTAACTCGGGCCAGGGCAATCTCAATGGTCTTCTTGGATTTCTCATCAGACAGGCGAGCTTTGGAAACTAGCTCGCTGTATTCTTCAAATGAAAGAGTAATTCTAGAGGGCAGTTTATGTTCATTTTGAGAATCATTAGGAGATAAAGCAGCTTTCTCTGTAAGTAATGCGGCTTCTGCTGCTTCAGCAGCTTTTATACCAATCTTTATCTCCTCTATTTCAGATAGTAGTCTGGCCGCGTCAGCCTTAGCAGCTTCTGCAATCTTTTTAAAACCTTCTTTCTCTAACTGTAGTCTAGTAATCTGATTTGAAGTAATCCCCAAATTTTTGTGATGCTTGCTTTGAGCATCTTCTATAAGTTTCAGTTCTGCTGTGCTTTTTCTTAAATTCTCTTCTAAGAATGAGACCTTGGCGGTATTTAAACGTAAACTTTCATGGGATTTCTCAAGTATGGCTTCCTCCTTGGCTATCATACTCTTTAGCAGTACAATTGAAGCTCGGATGCCAGAAATGCCACAAGTACTACTTGCCAAATTCATCTTTGCCTTCTGTAGTTCCATTAAAATCAAATTTGGAGATCGTCTTGCATGAGTTTTTGGGGCTACCAAACAAGCACGATTTTGGAGGTATTCGTCATCAATATTGAGATGTAGTTTCGGAATGCCCGAATTTAGTCTGTCAGCAACTTGAACGAACTCTGAAGTTTCTTTTGGTAACTTTAGCTTCAGGTCATTTGCAATCTGTTTATTTATTTCTAGTTCCTTCAATACGGCTATCTTCTCCCTTTCTTTTGCAATAAAATCCGTATCAACATTTATTGTCTGCTGCTTGATCTTCATCAGGTTAATATCATAAAGAAAATCATGCTTTTGAGGCAAATAAACCCGCCTCCAACAACATAACAATAGAAATTTATGAAATTCAAATGAAAACGATAGTTTATTCAGAATCTATTCAAATATTCTTCTTTCCAGGATTTCATTAGACATTTTAAGAAATACATTAGGACAATGATGCGGAAACGTGCGTTTAACAAGCTCTCAGGGAAGTAAGTAATTAGACAGACTTAATGAAGAAAATGAACAGACAATGTGCATCTGAAATTTAGAACATCGATCATAAAAAGTAACATTTTGGTAGATTCACATTAATTCAAATTGTATATTGCATAATCTATGATGAGGACTATAAGACTTCTAGTACAAAAGCTTGGAAATTATTTCGATGCTTCGCTGGGTAGACTCAATATCTATATATGAATTACATTGTGAGATATGTAGCAAACTTTTTGTGTGAAAGTTTTGAAATCCATTAGATGGCTTTGTATAAGTTAGTGGATTTGCATTGGGTTGATGGCTATAATTAATGCTTAAAGCCTCAATTAATATAGTAGCATAATATAAATATATAATCTTGAATTTTTTTGTGAGGGAATTGATTTGAGAGAAAAGATGGAAAAAGAAGGAGAAAGAAAGATAAAAAAATCATGTGTTCGATTTCGGGTGTTTGAAGAATGTCTCAACAAAGTTAAGGCACATTTTTAAAGAACTTTAAAGTGTGGTAAGTTTTGGTATTTGTTAATCATCTTGCTTCACTATCTCTCTGGCATTTTTCCTTGGTCTTGAAAAACTTGAGGCCTCTCTTTTCATTGTTGAGGGAAGGTGTGCTTCGAATTTGGGAAAGACGACCGAGGTCCTTTTACTTTACATCATGAAAATCAAGATCAATATGCTTGATGGTTCAAAGAGCATTGATAAACCATTAAACATGAAAAATTTAATTCTCATGACAAATACAAGGATATTACTTTTAAAATAAGAAGAAATGACACATTAAGAGTTATGCATTGAGAAGCAAAAAGCAACATACAGATGAAAATCACAAAGAGAGGTCAGTAAATGCAAGTTGCAAATTGATCTGGTTCTTAATTTGGTAGTGTGGTTTTAGGAACTAATGATGACAAGTGCACATAGCTATGGATTATAAACTCAACTTATTGAAGTCACATTTGTTCTATTTTAGAGATATTTTTCATGTATAAGCAAAATTATGGTAGCAACATTTACATGGAAAACAAAACTATGCACAAGATTTATTGTTATGACATTTTAAAGATGGGGAAATATGATGATGCGATAAATTCATTAGTTGGAGTTGGATGAGCATTAGGAGCATTGAATTTGAGAAAGAATCTAATATTTTTAAATTCGAGAGTCTTGTGAGATATAGATTCTTTGTTGATGCTAATATTCTTAGGTGCATAAGAGTACTTTGATTGTCTCATAGGCAAATAGAATTGGCGAGCTTTATATGTCGTAGAGTGCAACACCAATTGCTGTTGTATTGGGTTTAACAACTTTGGAAAACAATTTAGGAAGAAAAAGAAATTTAGCATCCAGGCTGCACAAAAGATTCTGTAACAAATACTGGCAAGCAAAATTTATGTTGCATAGCCAATCCTGATGTTAGGTAGTCTGAGCAGTCTTTTGTTGCACAATCTCTTTGGAAAAAATCTGTGATATGTGAAGCAATATCTGTTTAAAAATAAGGCAACATATGCTATTTTAGAAAGTCCAACAGAATTAAAATAATAATAACTGGTTAGCCTAGAATTCTAGGCAAGGTCAAAATAAATCAACTGAAAGGTCTTCCCGAGATTTATAAGGGATTGAAAGAGAAATATATTTTTTTATGGTTTTAAATTGCTCAATTAGAAATATTCCTCAACGCAGATTAAATAAAAGGCAATGAATCTTCACCTCATGCTTGTCAAATGAGGTGTATGACTATAGGGGGTGAGCTACGTTCAGCGCAATTTTGAATAGGGAAAGTCTAAAAAGTTAGCTTTAGCTAATTTTGGAGTTTTAAGTTATAAACTTTAAACATAAACATAAACCTATTTACTAGGCCTAAACCAAACCAAATTTGAGAAGAACCGCATGGCTTCAAAATTATCTAAATTGCACAAGACCCTCACACCCACACTCGATCCAACTGCTCCGTCGATTGATGTTGCACGATCACAATTGCTGCATTGCCATTGCTGTGCCTCCATTTCTATTCCATCATGGTTTTCCGACAACTCCCTTCTTGTTATTAGTAAACCATCTACTTGTTTCTAGTATGAGAGATGAGAGAACAAAAGTAATTACAACGATGATTCTAATGAAGACCGTCTAAGTGATCACAGTGGAAGAGATTTTTGAATTAAAAATTTATCACCTTGGTCTACTAGTTTATCTTGAATCAGATATTGAAAAAACTTTATTTTTCGTGTTACTAACGGCATTTTATGAATTTTAATGATCTTTAGCTTTTTATGATCTTACTTTGATGTCTCACTTTGATGTTAGTATATTACTTATTATTTTATATTTTTTAGTAGTTTAATGATTTAAATATGAGTCTTATACCTCAACCACCTTGAGGCTTACATCTCTCCTCAAAAATAAGAAATGTCTCAAAACCCAATTGTACAATTCCAAACATCAATATTTTCCAAATTATATGGTAGAAACAATTTGCACATCTTTTTTAACGAGGGCTAATAATTTTTTAGCCACCATATTAATATTTGTTTTAAAGGTGTCAATATTGGACCCAACATGAAAACATGACTTGAATATGACAGGAAAAATTCAAATTTGGATCAAATAATAGAAGATTTAAGTTAGGTCCACATCAGTTCAATTGACTTAAAAAAAGTCAGGTTTGGGTTGTCACAGGTGGAACTTAAATATTTATTTTTCATTTTCTAATTGAATAATAATATTTTTCTACGTTGTTATGCCACAATTGAGTGGCACTAACCAAACAAAAATTCAATATGTTTTGCATTAGATTAATTTCGTGTTTAGGCTTGTTTGAGTAGACCTACAGGTTGAAGATTTTTTATTTGTTTAATAAATGGGTCAAGCTTGAGATGACTATATCTATCACAACCTGATCAAAAGCTTGAAATTAACCAAGACAAGAACAGACAGTCAGACGGTGAAAATTAAAATTTTCTACATTTATTTTCTATAACTAACTTTTAACAAATGAAATTGTCACAATAAGAAATAAATTAAAGTAATACTGTTAAATATACCTCATTTCTGATTGTCTACATCTTCTATAAATATTTCTTCTTCTATTGTTAATCTTTTAATCAAATAGTTAAACCTGAAATTTTAGTTTAAAATAATAATGATCTAATTATAGTCAGTGAATACTCATACTCCTAAACTATAATAACACAATGAAAATGGAACTAATATGCATACCAATTAAATTTTATGTAGATCAATCATAGAGCATTTGAAGGTTCGTACTATCTAATATAATCATTAAAAGTGATTCTAAATATTAATTATCTTATTATATCATTTTCAAATCAATATATTTTTAATGGGCACACAACCTTCTAATTAAGACACCTCAATATCAATATCTTTTTTCATTTACGTGTACGGGTACTTTAGCGTTCTCACGCTAGTAGCATAAATGGGTGAACTTCATCATAGTCAAACATGCACAAAGAAACATATTATAAAGCCTTTATTTACATTCTAAATATCATCTAATATATTTATTTTATAATATGCATATATAGTAAATAAGTATAGCTATGCAAATCATTCCTATTCATCTATAGATGATCAATTTGAATGATAAGACAAAATAATCATATTTTAATTGCAGTATGAAGGTCCTGACTAATGCCATTCTAATATGGTGATTTAGAATAAGTATAGCATTATTACGAAAATTTAGAAGTAAAAGTACTTACACTGCTGAATTAGTTTGAAATCCAATCTTTTTATTCCAACTTTGCTTCTTTTAGATAAACATCTATTAAAAAAATTATAATAATTAATTATATACTCAGTTGATCTTTATTTATGTTTGTCTATATTTAATACTAACATCCCCTTACTATTATTTGTTTAGATAAATTTCACTTAATTATTGATTATAATAAACTATATTTATTTATATTTAAAAATTCTTTAATTTCTATACTTATTGTGTTCATTTATTATTATAATTATCAATATTAACACATAAATATATCAAACCTCTCAACCTTCGATTTTGTCCTCATTGCTCCCAAATCACGCTCATGGCTTCGCACCAAACCGCAGAACCGCAAAGGAAGATATGGCAAGAGAAGGTCTGCTCGACCACAAACTTCTCGGTTCACCCTAATCGGTTCTCTCCACGCGAGCCCCTCTCCTGAAAGCCAAGCCGCTTGATTCAACTCTACACTCACACGCAAGAGCTCGTTCCTCTTTTCTTCCCTTTTTCTTCTTCTTCTCCTTCTTCCTTCACTCGGCTGGAGCACGATTTCCCTTGACAGAAACTTACAGGGGCTTGGATTCCCTCCTTTCACACACAAAAAACCTCAATCTTCTTCCTAACCATCAACAAAGCATGAAGGTGAGCCGCTCGCCTCCTTCCTTCCGTTTGCTGCTCGTGGCAGTTGATAGAGCCACTTGCCTCCTTCTGCTTCTTCCTTTGCTTTCTCTTACACTCTCGCTCTCACTCCTCTCCTCTCTTGCTCACTCACTCGCACTTTGTCTCTCGCTTGGCTTGTTTCTTAAGCTCGAATGAAATGTGGGAATAAATCCTTTGTTTTGACTTTCCAAGAGCATCACATCTGTTTTGAACTGGTAATATGAGGCGGTGATTAAATTTTATTTTATTACAATTATTATTTTATTTTTTCCGGTTATAACAATCTCCCCTTAATATAAAAATTCGCCTTAAAATTTATAAGTATATAAACATGAGTCATAGCTCAAGCCTCAAATCACTTCTCATTAGGCAGGAAACTCTACCTTCTTCTTAA